TGAATTGAGTTCATTTTCCCTTGCTGGTTAACTTTTAAACCAGCACAGAATTAAAAGGTTTTAATCAGACTTAAAAATACCCAACTTTTCTTAGTTTCATCCTCCTACTTTATTCTCCAGGCATTCAAAAGTACTGTGCCCAAAATTGATTATTTATGACTTTAATTATGTTTGGTACAATTCTAAATGGCTATCCATAGTTCCAGCCATTGACATCTATTCCATCAGTACACCAATAAATACAACAAACACGAAGTCTTTCTACAAGTAAGCTAATAATAACACCCAACTCTGAGTGATCCGTGGCCCCTCTGTTCAAATTTACTTGGGATTAAACTGTATAAAGTTGATTGCTATATACACATTACATCAGGTCTACACATCTATATACACATTGCACCCAGGTCTTCCCTGTGCCCTGTCTGGTGCTTTTGTGACTTTTCGAGATTTCTTTTTGAAGTAAGTACAAGTTATATTACAGCCTAAAAAAGTGTGGTTTCAGTTCCATGAAACAGACTGTGTGAGTTCTGAGTTCTGGAACTCTGCATGAAGCATACAGGTATGTTTAATGGCAAGATTTCCTTGGACTATGTTAGAAATTGAGATTACTTGCTAAAATAGATATAGGCCTGCCAAAAAACTTAACTGTGGTCTCTTCTGGAGTGCTTCACTATTCCTTCTTTTTTTGCCAATGCTTTAAGATAAGGCCTGAACATTCTGACTGTCTGCCTGGGTTACATTTATTTGCACACTACTTCTTATATGAATGAGATTTGCAGAGACAAAGACTTTAACTATTCAAACCAGTGGATTTTCCAGCAGCAAAAAGTTGAAGTGACTATAGCCACATACAGGTGTCTAGGATACATCTGTTTATTTTATCAATTGAAGAAGGGAACAGATGGTTAGTGCTTTGGGTATCCAAGACATCTACATAGGTCTGGAAGATAGAACTCAGAAAATACAGAGCTGAAGGTTATGAAGATCCCTCAACAGTGTTTGAAGAGACATACATTTTGGAAAATGAATCCCAACCAATTTGGCTTCTTTTTAATGAGATGAAACACTGTCCAGACTCTGTTCTATTGACTCTCTCCCCATTGACTGCAACAGGGTTTTAGGCACGTTTCACATATGGAAACTTGTGGTATTGTCACTTGTATTTAGGTGCTTTAGTCTTCGGGCTGAATCTCACTCTGAGTTGTAGGCACACGAGGGAGCTGAATTTCCCCTCTGAATGGTGTCTTTCATACCTGCAATCTTATTGAAAGTTAATGCTTGGATACCACTTTCCCTGTGGATCCTCAAGCAATTTTCAAGACCAGTAAAATCACTGTTTTATACATGGAGAAACTAAGGCACTGATAAGTGAAGAGTTTTATTGGTCAAATCTACCCATCATGAGCCAACAGCAGAGTAGAAATGCTTTGAATTCTAGTGTGATGTCTTATCATACAGACAGCATTGACTTTGGAGAAAGAAAAAAAAATATCCATAGTGCTACAGTAGCTGCCTAGCACATTAAAAAAAAAAAAAGCAAACAAAAACCCATTAGATGATCGATATCTTCAGTGAGGTTTAGAAAAAGGAAGGAAATTTATTTCCTCTAATTTTGTTCTTAGTTCTCTTGGGCTTTGAAGCATAATATACTGGGTGATATTATATCATCCTGGGAAATCTTACACTCAACCAAAGCTAGAAAAAGCTTGCAGGAACTGCATATGCTCACACTGTGCGTTTTACAAACCTGTCTGCTTTCAACCATTCGGAGAAAAACAGAGAAACAAAGGGGTAAGGTTTTAGCTAAAGAGAGAAAGAAGTATAGATGCTGATCTCATGTTCACACAAAGAGCATTTAATTTCTTTTTCTCCAGATTTCTTAGAGGTCTTTCTTCTCATCTGCACTCTGAGAATACCAACAGAAGTTGTGAATGTCTTTGAAATGGGCATTCCATGTTCTTGTCAGGAACTGTAGTGACAGGACAAGGGAGAATGTCTTCAAACCAAAAAAGAATAGATTTAGATTAAGATTAAATATTGCAAAGATAGTCTTCCCTGGGAGGGTGCTGAGGCCCTGGCACAGGTTGCCCAGTGAAGCTGTGGCTGCCCCATCCCTGGAAGTGTCCAAGGCCAGGTTGGACTGGGCTCTGAGCAACCTGGTCTAGGGGAAGGTGTCCATGCCCATGGCAGGAGGTGGGACAGAATGGGCCTTAAGGTTCCCTCTATTGCAAACCATTCTACAATTCTATGATTCTATGAGTAGTTTCCAAGAGAAACAAAGTGTGAGAGAATAAAGGGAAGTTGCTTGGGAAGGAAAAGAGAGGTGGATATAAAACATTAAAAGTCTAGAAATAAGGAAATTTCTTATTGTACTTGACACTCTTTTAAAAATCCTATGACCTCTTTTGAGAGTATGAGTTAAATATAACCTTTCCTTCACTCCCTCTTTCTGTATTATATGTAAGATATTTATGTGGTAAAATCGGGCACTTGTATTCCACTTTCACTGGACTACAATGTAAAAAACATTCACCATTATTTTTACCCTGAGAAGCTTCATTCTCAAAACAGGGAGAGTGATCCAGTATTTGAGGACAGGTGCCTGAAATACTCCAATTAATCACCCTTTTTTATTAAATTATTGCTAGTCAATATTCTAGGGTACTATGAGGTACATCTGGAATTTTTAAAGCCTGTATTAGAATGTGGAATTATAATTATTATTTTCTCTTTTTGACATCCTTTTCATTCAGGCACTTTTCAATTATGGTTTGTATTCTATAGCATGCTAAGATCACTTAAACTAGATTTTTCCCTTGTACTGCTTAGATCTCCATTGGCTACACTGGAAACCAAGTTACCTGCCTTACCTGTCAGCATTTACCACAGCTTAAATCTCATGGAAGGTACCTACACCAAGTTGTTAAAATACAGTTGTGGAGTCCTGCATGCATTACAAGCTGGAAAATGTGAAAGCCACCCCCTTAGAAATGAAATTGTATTGTATCTTCTGTCGCTTTATTATTTGGCAGCAGAGATGTTCTTCTAATGAAATATGTAAGTTATGTAATTAGACTGATTCTATACAGATTATCCATAGGCAAGAGAAAAATCAGAAGTGAAACAGATATTTTGAAACTCAAAGACAAAAAAATAATGAAATCACAAAAATACGTGGTTCTCTTTCTTTGTATAATAATATTTTTTTTTGATGTTTTATATGAAAAATATTTTGTGAAACATAAAACCTGAACATCATTCTAGAAAATCAGTTGATTATTGGATAGGAATGTTCATGAACAGTTGAAAAAACATTGTTTGAAACCTTCCCTAAGAAGTGGAAAAGAAGAAGAATAAACATCAAACTTCAGGTATTTTGTGATAAACCAAGATTAATTCTATCAATTAATGCAGAAGAAACATTTATTAATGGGTACTGTAATTACTATAGTCTAGATTATACAAAAGTTGCTATTTGGGATGAGAAATTACCTATTTTAGTCAATCCATCAATATATTGAAAATGAGAGAAATTTTCAGGTGCACAGATCCTTTCCAATTTTGAAAGAAAAAATGCATACATCCCATAACCCTAGCAAACTTAATTAAAGTACTATATTTGAGAGAAAAAACACCTTTTTTTCTTCTGCAAATATTCAAGAGAAAGGGAGAGAATAAAACAGCTCAAGGCAAGTTTCCTTTACACGAGTCCAGTCACTCAGAAAGAATGTGCTTTTATCTAGATCTCTTGTCATTAGTGGCCATCTGGGGGGTAGCTCGGAACTGAGATCAAAAGCACATTAGCACATTTATTAATGTTGCCTCTTCCCTTTGACTGTCTTTTCAGTGAAGCTAGGGGTAAGAAAGTCTGTGAGGAAATCAGCGAAGCCTAAGCATTTTCTTGAAGCGAGGATCTGAATCACCAATTCTGCTATAGGCCTCAAACATTTTCAGAATTTGCTAAATAATAAAGAATGTCAATTAAACAACTGGTGTGGAATGTCTACTTAAATTGAGTATTTGTGACTCCAGTATGAAAAGGATGCTTGGGGGAGATAATACAAGATGTTTCTTATTGCTTTATTTTTCCTCCTTACACATTCCAGGTTTTCAAGGTCATCATGATACAAGAAAATGATACTCACATCCATGAGTTCATCCTCTTGGGATTCCCTACCATCATAGAGCTACAGGCTCTATTGTTTGTAATTTTCCTCATTGTATATTTGCTGACTGTCATTGAAAACATAGTTATCATCACTTTAGTCATAAGAAATCACCAGCTCCACAAGCCCATGTACTTTTTCTTAGGCCATCTAGCTTTTCTAGAGGCCTGGTACATCTCAGTCACTGTTCCTAAATTGTTGGTCAACTTTCTGGTGAAGAATAAGAACATCTCCTTACAGGATGTATGGCCCAACTCTACTTTTTCATTGCCCTGGTCTGTACTGAATGTGTCCTTCTGGCTCTCATAGCCTATGACCGCTGTGTGGCCATCTGCAAACCGCTGCACTACACAGTCATCGTGAACCACAGAGTCTGTGTGCACCTGGCCGTGGGCTCTTGGCTGGTTGGCTTTCTGATGTCTCTGCTAAAGGTCTTCTTCATTTCCCAGCTCTCCTTCTGCAGCCCTGGTGTCATCAACCACTTCTACTGTGACATCAGCCCTTTGCTCAACCTTTCTTGCACTAAGCGGTTAGTTGCAGAGATGGTGGACTTTGTCTTGGCCTTGCTTATTTTGTTGATTCCCCTCTCTGTCATTGTAATTTCTTACATGTGCATAATCAGCACCATTTTGTTCATTCCCAAGGCCCAGAACAGGAAGAAAGCCTTCTCCACCTGTGTTTCTCACCTGCCTGTCGTTATCATCTTCTTCTCAGCCACCCTCTTCATGTATGCCCGACCCAGGAGTATACACTCCTTGGATCTCAACAAGCTGGTTTCTATAATTTATACTATAGTCACTCCAGTGCTAAATCCATTCATTTACTGTCTGAGGAACCAGGAAGTAAAAGATATTTTGTGGAAAGTCATGGCTGCTCTCTCCAGAGTTTCAGCATCTGATCACTAATATAATGCTTGGAAGATAGTCTTCTGACTGAATTTTTCTGTATCCTATGAAAGTCTAATAAGACTTTGACAGAAATGGGAATTATGCTTTTCTTTCAACATCAATAGTTAAGAATTCCCTCTCCTGATTCAATCTGCATGTTCAGCTAACATCAATGAATGCTCATACTACATGAATGTAAAAGAAGGTATTTCTACTGTACTTATTACACATCATTCCTGAGGAGTAGAAAAGACAATAAACATCATCACCTTCCTTTAATTATATCTTTGGTATGCATCAAAGAACAATATTGCATTCTGACTCTGATCCAACTTAAAATGAACTTCAAAGAACTTGAGGCAACAAATAAATAGTTATGTCAACCTTTTTTCACAGGGATTAGCATGGGAACTTCGGTAATTCAGATTATATGAGTCATTTTAGATAGCTGCCATAGGAGAACATGAATCAACACTGAGAAGTTCCTTTGTTACTAACTTCAAATATAACTTTGAGAAGTAACTGTGATTCACAAAACAAACTTTTAAGTTCGGGGAAGAGGGTTAATTTGCATAGTTTGATTTCCATTTTAAATGCTAAGCAAGTCTCCTGATTTTCAAGTGCTCTTTTCCTCTGGTCCTTCTGTATTGCATGAGGAGATATAAGCACTGAAGAAGAATCAGTTGTCTAAACACAGGCACCTAACAGCATTTCTGATGCCATATGGTATCTATACAGACACTGGACCTGTAGGAGTCCTGATCTTTCCTGAGGTAACGTTCAAAGGAGAGGGTCAAGAAGAACTTGAAGCAATTCAAGAGAAAAGACAAAGAGGTCATGAAGTAACAAATGCAGCAGGCTCTTACACAAAGACATTCCTTTACATGGATAGAGATGCCTAGTCATATTTCAAATGTCCTTCTCTCCAGAAAGGTTAAGGTCTTGCCAAAGGTCTTGAGTGAGATGTCAGAGCTATTGTTTATAAAATGGTCACAATACATGAATGTATAGACAAATTAGTTCCACTTGCAGGGGTATACGCTTTGTGGAAACAGTTGAACATGTAGGCACAATAATAGATAACTACTCAGGTACAGATTCATATTACATAGTTCTGTGTAGTTCCTGAAGAATTTCTGTCAGTGACTTATTCATAGGGAGAATCAGTAGCTGGTAAGTGAGGAATAATCACCTCCAGAAAACATTTCACAGCAGCTAAGTTAGGTTATTGTTTTGTTTCCTGAACTGCAAGTGCTGCAGAGAGAGCATCAGAAAGCCAGAATTAGTCTTCATGATTTTCGTTCTTGGATCCCTTATTTATACACAAGCAAAGTAAACACTGCAATCCCATGAGTAATTACTTATATCTTATGCAGTCTTATGCTGAACTGAGGAGACAATACAGTTCTTCTTCTTCAGGAATTTTTGAAGGGCAATCACGTCCTTCCAAGGAGGAATTTATCCACTGGTATTTCAATGCGTACAGCACACACAGGAACTACAATGAGCAACATATGTAAGCTTCTGAGCTGCTTGTTGATATGTGCTTATAGAGTCAAGGAAGAGAGGAATAGATGTGACTATGGAATAATTCCTCTGACCTGTTTTCTTCTCAATGGGAGAAGTACTACCTGGAAATGCCTGCATATTTATATTCCCTAGAAATAAAACAAGCTGACCCTATTGTCTATTGGATAATTAAACTGACAGCTATCTAAATTTCATTAGATGAATTCCAGCTTTTCAGTATAGTCTTGTTACGTTAAGGTAGCTCAAGTGTTTACTCCAGTTCAAGTGACAGAAAAATGTAAGCATTGTATTTGACTTAGGAGAGTCACTCTCTTGCAATTGCTTATTTAGAGATTTGACTGACATATAAGATGAACAATTTGAAATTTGAAACACCCGGATATCCCTGGTTTCATAAACAGAATTAATATTGGCCAGGTCAGGAAGTACTGAATATATGTGCCAGGGAGACAAATTGGTTAATAATGTAATTTAGGCTATGAAAAAAATACAACATTTTTCATCTTCTTTTTAGACTTGTGGAATTTCTCATGGTAATAAAAGCTAACAGTAATATGGCTACAAAGCTATTTGAGTTTGCACGTTGCAAGTCTTCAATTATGTTTTATATAACCACTTCTGCAGGTATAAAATATTTTAAATTAACAATACCTGGAGTGGTGTTTCAGTGTCAGCAAGTCTTATGAGGATGAATGTTCTTTCATCACTAAAAATCTAGTTTGTTATATGCTTTTCTCTAATAAATCTGGGAAAGGGAGAAGAGGTGGCTTGTTTCTTTGCTTTTAACAAGAAATAAAATATTACAGTCGTAGAACTTTAAAACAAGATATTTTAAATCTTATATTAGATTACAGGATGGCAAGGTTAAAGGAGAGAAATGTTTCCAGCTTGAGGGGGTTTTTGTCTTCTCAATTTTGATTTGTAGAAATTAAGAATTGTATATGAATATTAGCATTAAAAAAAAATAAATTAAACGCGGACAAATAGAGAAATAGCAAAACAGGGTATGGGAGTGGAAGAGACACAGACACAGAAATGAAATGCATTCCTCCAAAACATAATTCATCTTCCCAGAGAGCTTTATTTAGTATAACCCATGATGCTCTCTGGAAATATCTGTTTCACTTAGTGAATATCTTGAGGCTTTCTATGCTGTGAAAATGTAGCAGGAACCAAGCTCTACTTCAGGCAGTGCTGGAATGACTTAGATTTCCAGAACTAAGCCCAATTGTCTAAGTCATACAGATGCACCCTGGATATTCAGCATCCCCTGCAAGCTAAAGAGAATTGTGCATCCAGCTGTTATATGGGCATTAAACACCCATGGATTTCACTAATAATCTAGTCCACTAATTATGAACTAGATACCAAAATATCATATTGAATTTGTCCTTCATATCTTCAAAATGCTGTATGATCTGAATGTAATAATGCTCTTCCTTTTCTCCCTCCCTTCACGTTTTTCCTTTTCTTACTATTATCATTCTTCCTCTCTTCTATCTTGCCATTTTTTCTTTTATTTCTTTGCTGTTCGTCTCATTATTTCTTTGATTTCTAAAACATTCATCCATTTTCTTTTTCATTGCCTTTACTTTTTCTCTGAAGCTTGATGCTCTGCCCTTTGTCATGAAGGATTAAAAAAAATTTCCAGGAATTTATTGTCTTGGGATTTCCAATTACCATGGAATTTCAGATGTTGATCTTTGTGATATTCCTGGTGGTCTACATACTGACTTCTTGGAAAATATACTCATAATTATCTTCATACAGATGAACTATCTGCCCCACTAGTCCATGTATTTCTTTCTCAGCAACCTCTCCTTCCAGGAGGCTTGGTACATCTCAGCCACTGTTGGTGAACATTCTTGTTGAAAGCAAGAATGTATCTTTTGGAGGCAGCTTTACTTCTTCAGCTCCCTTATTTGTACTGAGTGTGTCTTCCTTGCAGTTATGACTTATGATTGTTACGTGGCCATTTGCAATCCCCTGAGCTATTCAGTCATCATGAACCACCAGCTCTGCATGTTACTTGCCACGTGCTCCTGGCTCCTGGGCTTCTTTATCTCCAGGTTGAAAGTAGTTTTCATCTCTCAGATGTCTTTTTGTGGCTCCAATATCATCAAGCACTTCTTGAGTGACATCAGGCCGTTGCCGAATATATCATGTGTGGACATCATGGTGGTTGGAACATTGAATTTCATCCTGGCCTTATTTATCTTGCTGGTTCCACACTCTGTCCCAATTATTTCCTATATATGCATCAGCAGCAGCATCTTGCATATCCCCCCATCCCTGAGCAGGAAGAAAGCCTTCTTCATCTCTGTTTTTCACTTCGCTGTAGTAATTAGCTTCTTTTCAGTCTCTCTGTTCATGTATGCTTGACCCAAAAGAATCCATTTTTTTGACTTCAACAAGCTGGTGTCTACTGTGTACACTACTGTATATCCCATGCTAGATCCCTTCATTTACTGCCTAAGGAACCAGAAGGTTAAAGTGGCTTTGAAAAAATCTTCATTGTTAGGCAGATGTTCTCCAAGGTATCTCAAGCCAATGCTGTCCACCATTAAGATAGTTCCTATTGACAGAATGTAAGTGTGAGAGTTAGAAGGAAAGGTTTTAATATTTAGATTGTACTTAGATCTGCAATCATAATAATGTTGGATAACTCAAGAAACTGAGACATATATATGACCCCTTATCTGTTTTGACTGACATGCACTTCAGGGAACAAAAAGACATGTCTGGGTTCTGTTAATAGCATATGATCCAAATTCAGGCAATATCTGACAGCTAAGGTGGGATGCATATGCCTAACTACAGGCACCTGGTTAATGTTTTAAAGACCTTGGGTATTCTGCTTTACAAATTTACAATTGTGATTTTAGAAGGGAAGAGTCTTTTCTGCAGTTCCTGTATCATATCTGCCAGTCCAAAAGGAGAGGTCTCAGGGCACTCCACACTGTTTCATATTCTGCAAGAAGCTTAGGAATTTGAATCAATCCTACTGGAAGATAGTAAGAGTAGAAGGTAAGAAGGTGTTTACTGTGGAATGGAAGCTTGACTTCTTAAGGAAGGTTGAAATAAATAATCGAAATAAATTGAAGACTTTAAATCCTCTACACTGCAAATAAAATAACTTTTTTTCCCCTTTTTATGTAGGCCATTTTCAATAATTTCTCTCATATATTCTGCTGAAGTCACTGTGTCTTAGTTTGGATATGACTGAACATGCAGTTGTTTTGGAATTTTATGTATTTTAGATTAAGTGACTCCATCTCTACTGCCTTTGTCAACATCTGTACCAGTAAATTAATTTACTCTAGGGAGTGATCTGTGGCCATTTTGCTAAACATATCATAGTGTCAGATATACCCTGATAAGCTTTGTGGACAGGCCCCTTTTGATGAAGCCGGTCATGCTAATGAGCAATTCCTTGATTGTGACCTACTGCAAAGCCTTTTGCATCTGTTCACTCAGGTCTTTTATCA